CATTTCCACTTAGGGGTGTACTTTTGTTTCCAACGGTTTAGACATTAATGGCTGTGTATTGAGTTATTTTGAGGGGACAGCAAATTTACACTGTTACACAGGCTGTACACTTACTACTTTACATTGTAGCGGAGTGTCATTTCTTCAGTGTTGTCACATGAAAAGATATAATAAAATATTTACAAAAATTTGTATAGCAGGTGAATCTGACTGAACTGCAATGTACTGAGGGAATGTACTAACAGCATGGGCCACCCGATGGGCCCCTTGAACGTGCGGCCTTGGCAGTTTGCCACACGGCCCACATGGCAGCAGGCACCCGGTCGCAAGGGTCCGCAGGGCAGCCAGGCCCCATGGAGTGATGGACCGATGGCCAATGGGCTGTACTGGGTGCTCTTGCTGGCTTTGGGGCTCTGAAGATGTCGTTTAGCTCTATGACTTTTGCTTGCCGCAAGTGCAGCAGCGTCGTCAAGAGCCTTTGCACGAGGTGCGGCAATTCAGCTATCAGATGTCTTCTTTTATGCCCCATATCTTGTTTGTGCAGCATGTGTCTTCCAGGGCTGAAAATCTCCGGTCATACTCTGCATTGCTGCTCCGCAGTCCCGGATCTCCTCCTGCAAGGAGGTGATTTGCACATCATTGACGTCGGAGGTGTTCTCCAAAGCGCTCAGCCATCCTGTCAGACCGTGGATGTCTGTGCAAAGATTGGCCACATCAGATTGGATATTTGACTGAAGATCTGCCAATAGTTTCCTGAGCACCATGGTTGTGACAGGTGCAGAATCTGTGCTTAGGAGTTTCGGCTTTTTGGTGTCTACACGGCTGGTAAGTCTGGTGCTTCCTCCCCCAGTGAGGAATCGTCAAAGAACTCAGAGTATGTCCCTGTATAGTCGGCTTTCTTGGGCCCAGCAGCTCCATGTGCTTGTCTCAACAGCTCTCCAATATCCAGGCTTTGCTGTGGCCTGTCTGGTTTCTTTTTTTTTTTGGTCTTCCAACCCATGCTGGGTTTCCCCTTCTTGGCAGGTATTTGCTGTGGTTTTATTGCCCAAATCAGGTAGTTTTCAAAGTTAGTTTGCGGGAGCTCTAAAGCCATACGACTGCTCAGCTCCGTGGTTAAGCACTGCCCGGGTGTTTGTGAGATACTGTATATATATTGCTAGCTTTAGGTTATTTTTGATGACCTTTAGAAACTTAGTGATTCTCACTGAGAACATTATTTCATTAAAGGAATACTAGCATTATAAATAAATGCATATATTTCTAACTCTGGAGAGTGGAATTGTTGCTATAGATTTCTGTCCCCACCCACTGTTGCCTTGAAATAGAGTTCATTTACCTCTAATGCAGCTGCAAGATGGTCTCCAGAACCTTAGTTCTGGACTACTCCAATGCTTGTAACAAAGAGACACTGGGGTCCTACAGCACATGAGTGCCAATCGCTACTCTGAGCCAGTGGAATGCTTCTCATAGATCTCATTAAATTTTGATTCAGTGCTTCTCTGTGAGGGTCATTGCCTTCTGCTTTTACCGAGCACTCAGTAAGTAAGAGCACCCTACCGGCCGGACAATTGACATCTGGAAGGATGCAACCTAAGTTTTATAAAAATGCTGATTTCTCTTGAAAAAAAAAAAGACAAAGAAACAGAGACACTCTGTTAACCTCTACCATAGACTTGTGCAGGTAAAGAAAAAAAAAATGATTTAGCTGAATCAGTTCATTCAGAAACAAATGCTTGTTTGAGTGGAGCGAAATTTATCCATGTGGCCTTTCGGTTCCAACTAATTTCAACCATGCAATCACTTTGGGAAAAAAAGTTGCAGACAAAGCAAAAGGGCATAAAAATGAGGCATTCAATGTAATGCAAAGTGTATACATTATCCAGATATTAGATATACATTGCTGGACACTGATAGGAGCATTTTCCTAACATTTGATTCACAGAAGTAACAATAAGAAGTAACAATAACAAGAAAAACAAGGAGGAGCATTAAATAATCTATGTATTTATTAACTATAATGTATTAATGTATTTATTAACTATATAATAGATAAAAGTATAAGGTATAGATAATTTTTTACCTCTATTGATCATATCTCACTTTACCTGTGAATACAATCAGCTCTTAGTGGCTCTGCCCTAGTCCTCAGTCAACCTTTTGCTTATTAATCATCTCTTTTTTTAGCTAAATGGGTAGAACATAAAAATAAAAATCAAACAAAATTGATAATTTGTTGCACATTTTATTTGTTTTGTGATATGTCCTTATGGCGCTTGGTAGTTACAGAATTCCAAAGAATTGCAATTCTTTTGAAACCAAATGAACAAGTCTACTCTACATCATGTCAGCAAGCAGAAGGGCATTCGTGGTTTGGCATGTTCCTTTTAAAAACTATCAATGACAGATTAATAATAAAATGCCATCCTACATGTTGCAATTGCAGTCTTTACAATTACTTATATAGTTCCAACATATTCCATGGCACTGTACAATAAGCAAACAAGACAAACATGTAATTCTAATAGAACATGTGCGACATATGGAAGCAGTAGATGAGAGGGTCCTGCCAAAACGAGATGACAACCTAAAGGGATGAGGGACAAATACACAAAGGGAATTAAGGGAACCGAGTGATCAATATGTGCCCGAGAATGAGAGGGGTGTTTGGGAGGAGGGAGCACAGTAGATGAGAGACAGCAGGAAAGTTAAAGGGGGTGAGGAGTTTTGGGGACAGCTGATAGGTCTCTCTAAATAATTGTATTTTTAGGGATATTTTGAAGGACTGCAGAGACAAGGAGAAGGGCATTCCATATGATGTTAGCAACCCTGGAGTAGTCCTGCAGGTGGGAATCTGGAGTAGTCCTGCAGGTGGGAGTGCGCCTGTATGACTAGGACAGTAACAGGTCGTCAGCAGAGCGAAGAAGCCATGCTGGAGCGTATTTGCTAATGAGGGATAAGATGTAACCACGTGCATGGCTATGGAGAGTTTTGTGAATCGAATTCTAAAGGAAACAGGAAGTAATGTAGAGCAGTGATAGAGCAGTGAGGTCTGAGAATTCCTGGACTTAATATAAGTCCTGTAAAGGCATTCAGTATGGACGGTAGACAGGCAATTTGGGCACTTTTACATCTGACAAGCAGAGGTTTACCATACCGAAGGGTGGAAACAACAGGAGCATGGACAAGAGTCTTACTTGCATCCTGAGTTAGAAACAATTATTTAAGGTGAAAGCAAAAAGATTTGGCAATAGATTTTATGTAATTGTTGAAGTAGAGGTCGTGGTCAAAGAGCACAATAAGGCAACATTCCTGTTGAGCAGAGGTTATGATCTGATGGAAAACAGGCACAGACATAGCCTTAGAGGGAGGAAAGAAAATGAGTTTGGTCTTGGAGTTGAGGTTGAGTTTCGGGAATCAATGAGACATTCAGTCAGAAGAAGAGGAAAGGCAGTCAGTGGCATGTTCCAGCAGATGGGAAAAGTAATCAGGTGAGGATCAGTAGATGTGGGTATCATCAGCATGCAGGTGATATTGAAATCCATAGGATGATATAAGGTCACCAAGAGATAGAGCCCAATACAGAGACTTGAGGAACTCCAACCAAGAGAGGTACACAAGGGGAGAAGGAAGTTTCGATCTTACATTTTAATTCTAATACAATAATTGTACATGTGTCTATTGAGTGTGAGTTCTGAATGGGATGGACTTCTGACATGTAATATGTTCTTTGAAGTATGTTTTTATTTTTACCAGATACCTTTCCGTATATTTATCTTATACAGAGCTTTTCCAGCAAAGATACCGTAGAATTGAGATCTGGTTCCAGCAAATCCAGAACTCATGACTAGACAACTTTTTTGTAGTTGGTAATTATTCACACATGAAGGTGCACCACACCCACCACCAGGGAGCTGCAGTAAGAGGGGGCATAAGGGGCGTCGGCGAGGATGGGGGCTGACCAGGGCTAGAGACCCGGGTGGTTCTGTGAAGAATCCCTGGTCTAAAATATGCCATTTATTATTATCTTCTCCTCCTTACAGTAGCATGGCCAAGCAGCAGCACCCTCCCTCAGTCCAGGCTCAGTATTCATGCCCAAAGCTGTGTGGAGAGGGAGGGACATAACACACGTCATACCCTGCTCCATGCTTCACACACACTGCAGCTATAAACAGTGTTGAGGCTTTGTTGAGCCTCTGCCAGGTAAGCTTTGGTCATGGAGTGTACAAACTGCACCTCCCACCGAAACATCAGGTATCAGGATTCCCCCATCCCTTGCCAAAGGTAAGCCTCAGGGAGGGGGGAGGAAACTGCATTTTGTTTTATGTTTTTATTTTATTAAATCCCATATCTACCCCACTAGACCACCTAACCCTCCACTACAGCCTTTCCCCCACCAAACCCAGACTGGTCATCCAGCAAATATCCAGTGAGCTGTGATGGCTATGAGCCGAGGCTGGCAGTGGAGATCAGAGGATCTTCCATGCTGGCCCATGCAGCGCATGCACTATCCAAGTCGGCCCTGCCCCCCAATACCCTCCCTAGCCCCTACTATATCCTCTTACCCCCACTACACTCCCTAACTCCCAATACAGCCTCTAACCCCCACTACATTCCCTAACTCCCCACTACATTCCCTAACTCCCCACAACATTCCCTAACACCCATCTACATTCCCACTACCGCTCCTAACCCACCACTACTGCTTCCAACCCCCACACTACACCCTCTAACCTCCCACTCTATCCCTTTTACTCCCACTACATCACTAACCCCCACTATTGCTCTTAAATCCCCACTACTGCTCCATCTCCCGCTACATCTCCTAACCCCACTTTAGCTCCAACCCCTCACTACAGTCACTAAATTCCCACTACAGCCTTTATACTCCACTACGACAAACCCTATTGCACATTACAGCTTCTAACCCACCATTTCAGACCTTAACCCTATGCTACAGCCTTTACACCCCCCTACAGCTTCTATTTCCCACTATACCTCCTATTCCACACTAGTGCCCTTATACCCCACAACATCACCTTACCCACACTACAGCACCTTAACTGCCCAGTACTTTCCCATTTTGGAGTTAAATGTGTTTGTGTAGCCCTAGACACACCACAGCAGACTGTGACTTATATACTGCAAAAGACTACATTTAGCTTCCCTTATTGCACAATTTGTTTAATTTATCATTTCTCACCCCCTCCACTGTCAATTGTCTGATAGAGCCTAACACACCCTCCTGTGTGTGATAAAAGTGATTAAGAGCAGGAGATAAAATATTTTAAAGTAAACATACTATGCTGTAGGATCTGATTAAAAATTGAGCAATTTTTTCTTGTAGGCTGTGTCAGTCACAGCTGGATAGGGCTGCATAGACACAAACAAACTCTTACATTGAGTTTTGAGTAGCGAGACTGCAACTTCATTAAGCTAAAGTTGTTTTGGTGCTTCGAGTGTTACGTTTAAGGCTCTCAGACTACAAGGAGGTAGACTGGGCATCATTACCTGTTCATTACGAGAATAATTACACCGACGGCTAAGGCTGAATTAACAGAGAAATAAAGTCTTCTCTGACATTTAAAAAGCAATACACAATATGCACAAACAACTAAATAATAACTATGGAAATGATTGTTTAATATCTGTAAAAGCAAAACGCCGCAGGTGATTTTATCCTTACGGTAAAATGACTTTGTCATAAAGTGTTTATGGTTGTTTATGACTTATTGAATGAATTGCACATACAGTCTGTTAGTACAAGCTTATTTTATTTAGAATGCAATCAAATATGTATTTACAATACTGAGATATTTCATAATAACAGTAATACAGCTAAGCAAATATATATATATTGATATCTCTAAACGGGTAATAAAGTGTTTAGTCTTAGTGTAATTAGACAGTGTAGGTAACTGCATGTGTAAGTGAGATACTTTCTTTATACAATGTCCAAACTGGAATGAATAATATATTGTTAAAATAAGAGAGCGTGATTTGGATGCTGTCGTTTACTGCAGAAATCTTTTATACATAGTGGTGTCTCCGAGTCTATGACGCTATTAGTGATTTGTAACAGAGAAAAGTACAAATTAATGTAAAGCACAAAAAAAAGGCATCGGAGCCGCTGGCAGCATGAACACAGGATAGCTCGCATCAAGAGAATCCTGCAGGAAAAGGGTCTTCCGCCTAATGACAAAATATTTTAATGAAATTCCTTCTTTAATACAGTTTTCAACTTTAATATTAAGTCCTGTGTTTTCCAGATATTTATATTAAAAGAAATAGAAACAAAATGAATGGATAGATGGATAGATAGACAGACAGACAGAGGCGCTCTGCCTGGTCATTTTTGGCCCTTTCAGACAAATAGTAAACGTTTTTGCTTATTCCCCATCCCTAACGGCCTCCACTTATTTTTTTTATTTTTGTTGCGTGTTGCGCTTGTAATATACCTGTCAGGCTGAACCTCCTGCTGTAACATTTTTCATTTTTTCTGACATCCTTTTCCCAAACTACAGAAATAAAATACCATTGAATTACTTCACCATCCACACCTGCTGTCCAAGGCAACAGTATACATCAGCCCAAATGTATCAAAAAACGCAATACCACACAGGTTATCAGGAAACAATCCCCAGTCCCTATTGTGATGTCCCCTCCCACCATCAACGCAAAACGCGAAGCTAAGTCCTACCTACAGCACTGATTCACCTTGCGAGACAGAGAGGGGTATTCTCAGGAATCCGTACAATCTAATTAACAAGAAACAAGAATCCCATGAGCTTGCAGGCTAATTCCTGTAGTTTTAGTTGCATTTGTATTAATAGGCCTAATTACTGTGCAGTAACCCATACCATGTGTGTTCTTGTTAGGGGTAATTCGTTTGCCTTGATGATAGCAGGTGAGCTTGAACTTTAATGGCGATTGCAGTTGTTCCAAAATCCTCCATTATACAAATCACCATATGCCATCTAAGTGCATTATTTAACAGCTACAAAACGCAACATTTGTGGTTCCCACCGTGATTTGCCAAAAATGTACATTTTTAACAGTAAATGTATATATCATTAATTATAATGTCAATGTTAATGATGTGCAAGCTTGATTTAATCAAACCAAAAGCAGTAATATTATCTGGGTACAAATAAAAGGGTTACTGCTGGCAATAAAGATTTTTTTTATTTAAATATAAAATGCCTTTTTAACCATTGCAGTACCAAAGAGGCAAGTAAGTCTGGGAAACTAAGAAAATTCAAGTCTCTGGCACCAAAATGGTTAAACAGGAAGAACTTCATGTGTGTAATTTTCATATTAGAGTACAAACTGCAAAGGCACAACAGGACATTTAAAGGAAATTGTGATAAAAAGTTCATTCCCAACCCCTCCCCCCACACCACCCCCCAAAAAATGTTTTTATTTTTTTTTTACAAATAAGTCCATAATACTGACATCTCTATTTTCTTTTTAATTTAGATTTCCATTTCAATTTTATTTTGGTTTCATTTCAACCCGTGCATTGTCATCTCCATCCAGATCATACTCTTCCACGCCCCTGGTCCAGACTTTAATGCGATCTGTGAAGTCACTTGTCCTTGGGGCCAAGATAAAGTCATATATAATGGCTGCTGCTGCACCTCCAATCATGGGTCCAACCCAAAATATCTAATAAAATAAAACAATACATATTAAAACGTTCTGCATAACACGTTTTGCTAAATCTTCCCAAATCTTAAATACATTAGGCCATTTGGATGATGATTACAGTATCACAGACAATTTCATTTTACAGATATATTCACATGACATTATAGAGAATAATACATTTAGAGTAGTGTATAAAAGTACTTTGACTTGCAACATTTTATGGAGTATGTAGATTGTATCAGATTATATTATATTATATTAGATTACATTAGATTAGATTAATGTGTCTACATAATAAAGTATAAAAATTATTTACATGGCTTTTTTTTGGGGGGGGGGCGTGTTATGTTTTTTGTTTTTGTTTGTTTGTTATTTGTTTTTATTCTTTAGAATCCAGAGAACCAAATAATTCCCATATCAATTTAATAAATAATTAATTTTAAAACAAATTTTTTTTTTAATTATAAAATACATTTATGTATTTTCTTAAATGGAATATGAATGTTGTATTAACAACCTAAATTATACTAAGTCAAATTACAGTTCTGCTGACTATAAATATCAAATTGGAGAAATTTAGCAACTCTTTAATTTAACTTGCAGTTCAAAGATTCACAACTAACCACAAAACTCACAGGTTAGACAGGCTAACTAACCTACTGCACATTGGTCCTCTCCGAATTATGAAATGATTTCTAAATATTACACCTTAGTAATTGTACATGTTAATATATTGCATATTATATAACAGTAGTGAATATCAATTCTTTCTTACCCAGTGATGTGAAAAGTTTCTTGCCATTACAGCAGAACCGAAGGAACGTGCTGGGTTCATTCCACAGCCAGTGTAATCAATCTGCACAGAAAAAGTACACGTCAGTATGGTTTGTATCGGCGTTCAGCAACAAAACACATTCATTCTGAAATCCCCAATGTGTAAATGTCTCCACATGGCAGAACATTGTGAAAAATCTTAGTAAGTAAGGTTCTAAATTAAGAGATCTAATATATAAAAAATACAATGTATTATTACACTATATTTTGTTTATTTTTTTCTTATTTATTTCATGTTCCTTTGACTTTTGTTATTTCTGCAGGATAGTTTCTTTTTCTTAAAGGAACACTATAGTCCCCTAAATTACTTTAGCTAAATAAAGCAGTTTTAGTGTATAGATCATTCCCCTGCAATTTCACTGCTCAATTCACTGTCATTTAGGAGTTAAATCACTTTGTTTCTGTTTATGCAGCCCTAGCCACACCTCCCCTGGCTATGATTGACAGAGCCTGCATGAAAAAAAAAACTGGGTTCACTTTCAAACAGATGTAATTTACCTTAAATAATTGTATCTCAATCTCTAAATTGAACTTTAATCACATACAGGAGGCTCTTGCAGGGTCTAGCAAGCTATTAACATAGCAGGGGATAAGTAAAACTTAATTAAACAGAACTTGCAATAAAGAAAGCCTAAATAGGGCTCTCTTTACAGGAAGTGTTTATGGAAGGCTGTGCAAGTCACATGCAGGGAGGTGGGACTAGGGTTCATAAACAAAGGGATTTAACTCCTAAATGGCAGAGGATTGAGCAGTGAGGCTGTAGGGGCATGTTCTATACACCAAAATTGCTTCATTAAGCTAAAGTTGTTCAGGTGACTATAGTGTCCCTTTAATGTTTGATAGTTTTCTCTTTAATTATCAGAGCGGCACGCAGAGCCTACTGCTAGAAAGCCGAATGGTGCCGTATGGGATGAAATTATAGAAAAGTGGTCAAAAACAGGTGGTAATGATGCAATGGCATGGCTATTTGCCTAAACTGAACACATACAGGTAGCACTCACTTGGAGAAAACATTGTTTGCCTTTATAGAGAGGAGTTTTGCCTTTCTTGGATTAAGAAAAATGGGTACTTGAAAATATTGACTTTGATGGAGTTTGTGTTTTTTTTCCAACCTAATTTAGTTTGTAACTTCATAATCTAATGAAAGTAGCACATGTTTCCTATTACAAGACTCTTAATGGTGTACCCAAAGGAACTTTCAGTTCAATCTCCCAGACATACCAGCGTAAAGGTCTTAATTAGCTTCAAGTCAACAACATAATTAACAGCATGACGATAATATCCCTTTTGCTATGAGATTGAAAGCATGGTCTGTGGCAGCAGTGGTCAAAAACGTAGTCCCTTAACTATTAAAAAACTGCATGCAACTACAATGGGAATATATATAACTGGGGATCTACCTTTGGCCTCTCCAGGTCTAAGAGGAAATACTAGCAGGGTTATCTGCTAAAGTGACAATTCAAATTGAATTGAAAGTGTATTTCTGCTTCAAGATCCATAATAACATAATCCGTATGGGCACTCCATTGAAATACCAGAAATTGTTAGCTAGGATCCCAAGTGTGCATAGCCTTAAATACTGGAGATAGTCTTTTAGATATATTGACCATCGATTTGCTTTACGTGAGGATAATCTAACTAGTCTAAGATCTAGCTCAGCACCGAGATTTAGATATTTAATATAGTTACAATTGCAGAAAATGGATCTTAATCTAGTAATATCTAATAAGTTAACGCTTTTCATAGTTCATCTCACTGGTATATAGTATACTTACTGCAATCAGATGTCCCAAGGCCACCGATAGACCTATGGCGAGGGGTATGGATCCTGTAATATCAGTCCTACGTTTGTCTGTGACAGCCACGACGCAGAGCACCAACTGGAAGGTGATAATGATTTCAACTCCCAGAGCTTGTCCTGCTGACACACCACCACTGGGCTGTAAAAAACAAACAAACAGATTTTTTTTTTTAAGTTTCTATGGAATACAAATAAATGAAACATAGAAGATGGCCATATTGTGTAACTGAATCCCCATATCTGCTTGCTAAGATAGGTGATATTAAGGCGCATTGTAAAATGTGAAACTGTATTTTTTTGTGTGTGTGTGCGCTGTTCCCTAATCTGTATTATATAACCATAGAACACAACATTTGAGTTAACCTTCAGACAGGGGTGCTCATTGCTTGAGATAGTATTTACGAGGTATATTATGCTTTAATATTGAGCATTTAGGAATGTCAAAACTGCCGAATGGGGGCATTGTCTTCTGTTAAGATCAGTTCAACATCTTTAGTCACACTGAGGGGAGGCAGAACACATTTGATGTTTACTTGACCTTTTTTTAACAAGTTAGGCAGGCATCAGACAAAGAATGCGCTATTAATCTTTCCCATAAAATTATAATCAAGAAATAAAAATGAATTGTCAACTGCAACTGTTAAAACACAATAACATCCACTAGTGGGTGGCATGGAACGGAGGAGGTTCTCACACTTATTGCATTCCATCTGTCTTCCAGAACCAAAGGCCTTATTAGACATGTATTAACAGATAAATCTCATTTGATACTATAATACCAGACGTTCACGTTATACTACGACACATAGGTAATTATGTAGTATCATAGAAAATTCTATGTTTCCAAATTGATGTCCTTCTTTATATTTCACATTACAGCAAAACAATACATTTTATAAAATTACATGTTTTTGTACACCGAACGTTACCCTAACATTGGTGGGCATGAACTATTCTACAATCCATAAATGTAGAGTGAATTACTTAGAAGTCGAAATCTCCCCCGATGCTCAATATCATCTCAAATTATATTAATAATCAGACTCTCAAACCACCATTCTTAGCATTACCAAATGTGCGATGATATTGAGTTGCAATAGATCTAGACAGCAGTTTGAAATTCTTCATAATAGCACTAACGAAAATTTCTAAAAACTTTTCAGAAGATTTGGAATTCACCAATGAAGGATCACTTTAAGTTAATTCCCATATGAAATTTCATGTCTAAAAAGATTACGTTATTCCACAGTGTTTCAACCTATAAACATTTCCTCAAATTTTATGATATAACAATGATCCTAAAAAAGGTATTTGTAGTATTCACCCTTCATCTCCCACTGCCTAGAAAATGATGATCACCTATGAGAATATAATTAAATCAATGGAAGAATTGATGAACTCAACGTAAAGGGAAGTAATGATAGTACAATAATGGGACAGAGCATCTAGCATTTATAACAGTATTTAGTATGGCTTGAGAGTTTATAACAAACTTTGTAAAGATGAGCGGAGACAAGATCTTGCAGGGGGGATTTGAAGTTCATGATGAGAGAGTTTTAGCAAATCGTTTATAGGTTGTGAAGTGATTAGATAGGTTGGTAGAGAGGATTTTATGCCCCTGGAGGCTCGCACTATAAACTAAACTGAAGGAAGATGGGTAGGAGGAGAAAGTGGGTTAATTAGTGGGTAATTTGGTGAATTTAAATTGACTCTCCAAGTGCCATAATCACATAGTGTGTTGTGGTTGTTTTGCTGCTAGGAGGCTGTGCATTCTCTACATTTTTGTCAAAGCAATTTTAACACTTTGTTTGCCCTATTCATGCAATAAAAGGCTGTAAGTACTGGGATGCAGAAAAGCCAAATGAATCTGTGTTTAGGTATGTGACTGTGTGTGAGAGAGATATAAAGGTATTCTTATATTTATTTATATAAACCATAGATAAATCTCTCTAAATGCTGTTTTTTGCACAGGTAAAGATTATAAAATTATACCAACTTCAAAGTAAGTCTTCTACCCAGAGAATTCATGTTTTGCAGAGTTCCTCACAAGCTCTGGTAGTGGGGAATGACTTGTGTCTCCACTCACTCCCAGCCATTTTTGGAAAATGTTGAACCAATTTGGTATTGCTATACTGTTCCTTTTTGTCCAAGACCATCCCTACTTGCATTATAATTAGGAAGGTGGGCATCTATGAGCAAGGAAGAACGAGCCTGGATCCCTATGGAGGACAGTACTTGGAGTACATTGTAATTTTACTGTACGCAGTAAGAAAGGTTCTCAATGAAGACCACGGGCTAGTTTAGGTAATACGTAGAAGTATACAAGCTCCCATATATAAAACGTTCAAAGTTATATCGCACCTATATACAGTACTATGACGGAATTGTTTGGCATGGCACTTTATGGCCATATTGTATGAATAAATCTCATTTTATACAAAATGTCTTTTTAACTAACACTGAGAGATATAAAATGTTCTTGTGTTTTTTTTTAATAGCAATTTATGCTACCTTACAACTGTTCATCTCTCGGTCTATAACCTTCGGCACTGCAGATGTTTTGGACTACACCTCCCATGATGCTTTGCCAGCATTATGTGTATAAGAGCATTATGAGGGTTGTAGTCCACAACATCTGGAGTGCCGATGGTTGCCTATCTCTAGACTCTCTGTTACATGAAAATCAGATGGGAGAGAAATGGAGAGAAAGCAAGATAGAGGAAGAGAGAGGGAGAGAGAGGAGGGGGGAGTGTGTGTTACATACAGTGTATTCCGTTTATAAGAATTTACAATATAATTCCAACATGGAATGTGGAGTTGATTTTATTACAAAAACAATCACACAAAGTGCATTCGTAGTGAAGAGGCAGTGACTTTCGATCTATAAACACCTGTACAATAAAGCTATGCAAATTGATATAAGCTTGTTTAATGGAAAACCCAAAGCTTCTGTGCTTGCATGCCAAAGTGCTTACAGCATACCCTTTCACTGTCGCTGCGATAATTATGTAGACAATTTATTGTTTCACTTACTTTGAGGCCCATAAGCACATTTATTGGGCTGTCAGATAGTTTTTTAAGATCGCCATTACCATGGTTCCTATTGTATTAACCGGCTGTATATGCTCAGTTCATGAATAATTGCCCCTTTTATCCCCGGGTCATGAATGTTGTGAGAGCGACTGTTATTTATAAATCTATCAGATCATTTCAGTTATTAGAATAACCATTAAGGCTACAAAGTATACTAGAGATATTCTCGAAGGTTGTGTATGTTCTGCTGTTGTCTGAAAATATTGGAAGAAGACTTTGTGGCTCTGTTTGAATGTTTACACATTTTTGTCACTGTGTGTGTTTTGTTTTGAGTTTTGTTTTGTATTTTTGGCGCATGAATAGGCTTTTTACAAACTCCAAGGCAGATTTTCCACTGCAGATATGGTAACGCTGTGTCTTTCCAGCGCACTTCTGTATATAAAATGAACGTCTCACGATTTCACAAGGGAAACGCTGCGCTGAGAGTTTTTCGAAAGCTTGGAATCATTTGTTTTTTAACATGCACGAGGACAGAATCAGGATAAGTCTTTCTTTCATCCCCTCGAAGGGCGTGTTCGTTGAAATCACAGTGAAATAAATGTCTTGGCTCAGCGGGAAGCTGTAGAAAATCTATTAGCAGAGCTTTCTTTTCACAAGCTCACAGTTTGCATTCTCTTATTAACCTTTAGAAAAGTGATTGTGCCTATAGGTAAACTCTCTTACCATTTATCCCATGAATATCTTATTATACCTATATTAAAAAAACACGAATTCCTTAGCAATGTTCATGAAATAACATTTAAACTTCATATTGCTTCTTCCCATATCTATGACTGTAAGTTAAAAGACCCAACATACGTTGTTTTATTCTACTTTTTTTTTGCTTATATAGTCTGTCTGACAGCTCCACTGTATCACTATCTTAAAACATACAGGGCCAGATTAAGAGCCCGGTGGGCCTGGTGCTGACAATTATGATGGGCCTAACTACAGAATCTTATCGACCAAAAACACTAAAACAGTCATACCTCTCAAGTGTCATGTATCTGATGGAGTTGGTGTTGGAGGGAAACTCAAAGGATGCAGCTATAAGAAAACACATACTCTATGCTAATCTCTTTATCTAATTAATGCTTTCATCTTTCAAGTAAATCCATACCCCATGACAGCAGTGTCCATGGGCGGGGTAAAAGGGCGCGCCACTGACGCGAATCACGTGACCAGAATTGCCAAAAGGGGCAAATATGCCCAAAAAGGGGGCATGTCTGTCCAAAAAATTAGCCTGGCATCAGTGTCCCTATGTATCACAGTGTCAATGTTCCCATGTCGCCCAGTCCCCTAGTCTCCCAGTGTATGTGTCCCCATTTCTCCCAGTGTCCCCATGTCTCAGTGTGTCCCGTGTCATTAGGATACTAGGGGACACTGAGAGACCCAGGGACACTGAGATACATGGGGGCACTTGTGAATACAGACATGGGGACACTGGGAGACATGGGGACACCGACATTTGGGGACACTGGGAGAAATGGGGAGACAGACACTAGGGACACAGACATGGGGCACAGACACTGGGAGACATGGGGACACAGACACTAGGGACACTGGTTGGGAGGCATGGGAACACAGACACTTGGGGGCACTGGGAGACATGGGGCACTTGTGGACATATACATGGGGACACTAAGGACACAGAGACATGGGGACACAGACACTGGGAGACATGGGGACACTGAGACACTAGGGACACTGGCTGGGAGACATAGGGACACTGGGAGTCATGGGGACACTGGGAGACATGGGGACACTGAGAGACATGGGGACACAGAGACATGGTGTCACAGATACCTGGAGACCAGGGGGACACCCGGAGCCATGGGGACACTGAGACACTAGGGACACTGGCTGGAAGACATGGGGACACTGGGAGACATGGAGACACTGTGTCCCTAGTGTCTCTGTGTCCCTATGTGTCTCCCTGTGTCTTACAGCGTCCCCATGTGTGTGTCCCCATGTGTCTCAATGTCCCCGCGTCTCCCAGTGTCCCATAGTGTCTCAGTGTCCCCTAGTGTCTCAGTGTCCCCATGTCTCCCTGCTGCCTTTCCCCCCATCCTTCACATACCTGAGCTGTAGTCTGTCTCTGCAGGCTGGGAGCTTCTGTTTGGACTCTCTGTGCTGTGTAGCTGGTCCCCTGCTGATCAGTGAGTAGAGAGAGGCAGGGAGATGCTGTAACTTCCTATCCCTGCCTCTCTCCATACACTCCATACACACCCTACAGGCCGGTGCTGGTATTGCAGAGTAATCTCGGTTATACAGAGACAAATATTTGCATTTGTATTGCTGGTATTACTGCAATATCGTCTCGACCAGGCAGTCTCCAATACCAGCTCTGCCTTAAAATACCAGTCAGGTGGCAAACCTAAGAGTAGTCTGTAAAAAAAAATATATATATATATATATTTTTTTTAAATGGGCCTATTCCATGGGCCTGGGCCTGAAGCTGCAGCTCCATCAGCCCTTATGTTAATCCGGCCCTGAAAATATAGAATATGGTTCAGCTTGGTTATTTATGGATATTCATTCTCAGTGAACCCTTAAATGGACAGTCTAAGCACCAAAATTACTTTGCTTTAATGAAATGACTTTAGGGGGTTGTTGCTGCTCCTGCAGGCTTTCAAATGAAATCAGGGCTGTTTTCTAGCAAGATATTTTACATTTTACAATACTTATGCCACTAAGGATGTTAATTGTGTCCAGGATCTTCACAGGGAAGCATTGGATTGGCAGATCATAGCTAAAATCTTTGCGCATGCTCTATATATCCATTTTGCCTCTCTTGAGGAGAATTTAATTGGATCACAGTAATCAAGGTTAATACATTTGGTGATGGAGAATCAGGCTGTGTTAAGGAGTTTGCCCTGGCGTTAGAATCACGGCACTTGAACGGGGGGGGAGGGCAAATAGTAAAAATTGTAAACGTAACTACCCCTCCAAGTGACTAGATGTCCCCAAGCCCCTAATAACTCCTCAATAAATACATAGCAATGAACTAAATACCTGAAAATGAAAAAATAATACTTAATATTAGATATCATCTTCATTATCAGCCCCCAAAAATGCCAAATAAAAATTCATAAAGTCCGTCAAACTAATAAAATAAAAATTACCCGATCACAAAAAAAACCAAGCTGGAAAAAAAAAAACGGACGATAAAAAATTATCTATTTTTAAATGGTGAGGGCTACCCACACCTTGCAATTAGATTCAGAGTGCTGAAATTCTGAACTGAAAATAAAGCCGAATTTTTTCTGAAAACGAATGGACAAAATGTCGACATTCTGTTCCCGACGCAATTCGGTCCGTTCGCTGACGCCCTTGTCTAAATGACAGGACGTTTGGAAATATCAAAAGGAAGCAACGCAAGAATATGGAGGAGAGGTGAGTATTGTGGTAAAACTTTCTTTGACACAGGAAATGGAGCCGACTTAAGCTTCTCTTTGGGTCAAAGATGGTCAAGCGTAGGAAAAATACATGAGACAAAGTAGTCCCTTCTTTGTCTTGTGTTTTAAAGAAAAATAGATCAGATTCTGAGAGAGGAATAGAGGAGGAAGCGATTGTGCCTCTTCAACTAGAGTGTTTCTTTTAAGCAGCACTGTCACATCCCGCCCTTCCCGTGAAAAAATTGTATTTCATACAGATAGAAACTTTATGATATACTCATACTGACTGTGTTGGAACTGAAATTCCAACCCAGTCAAGAGATATACAGAGACGAAGTAGGGACTATGTATTTGTAAATTTCCTATACCTGACAGTTCTAGACACTGGGTGGAGCTACAGCCATTTAGAAGTGCCATCACCAGTGACAGCTGCAGGGAATAGGCTTTATCTATGGATATCCATAGGCTTCAATGCAAATGCAATACAGCAGTAACATCAGCTCCTGACGCTGAAGCACCAGGAGCTGATGGGGACTTGCTGGGAGTGGGATGGCAGTGCACCTCTTCCCACCCCTCCACTGCCCACCACCACCACAAATTCTGCAAAGGTTCTAGATGGTGCCAGTGGTGCTTTAATTTTGCCCAAAAGGTGGGAACGTGGGACAATAAGTATAGCTGATTAGTTAAGTATGACTCTACCTGTCAACCATTAACAGTCCAAGACCAGACGCAGATGACAATAGGGGGTGTTACGTTAAGGTGATACTGCCTGATGACCAAAATATTCTCCTAGCTATCTCTTTAATCCATCTTGCTTTCATTAAGAAACTCAGGAATATGCTGTTATAAATTATACTTGAATTTTCAAGAAGACAACATGTCTTTTTACTTCCTGGTTTGTTTAGCTCGGTGGAACTAAACTCAAGAGGCAGCAATTGCTCAGAGCACCTGCCTTGCAAAGACTTCTCATTGAGCTGCATTGGGAAGTCTGTGATTGGACAGCCACAGAAAGTCTGGGCGGGGTTAAAGGAGGAGGGTTTGTAAAGGCTGCAGACAAATGATCTGCATCTTCTGCAAGCTGCTTTTAGATATAACTCCAGTGAAAAGATGCAGAATTTAAAGCATACACGTTTTCATTTGTGGTATATCTACTAAACAGTGATTTTTATTTATTTGTATATGGGCACCCTTTAACAGCTTTTGAGGTAGCTCAGTGGTTAGTGTTTTCACAGTTCCACATTCAGTTCCTGATAAATCATCAAGCTTTTCATACTGCTGAGGTCAATACAAGATTTCTTGGAAACCAGTGTAAGCTAACCTTTACTGGTTTAATCGCCTGTTTTTATTAAAATGACTCTACGGAACGCCAAAAGACTGAACATAAAAAAAGGATATTTTCATTCAAAATAGCTAATTATAGCTTACATGCTCATTCTGCTCATATGTAGAGGTGTTATCTTAATATTTAATCTAAACCTATAGTACTGCAAGATCAGGAGCAGCATGCAAGCTAACATTAAAGCGCCAGGAATACAAACCTGTATCACTTTAGTGTCCCTGTCCTTAATAAAATACAGGTCCCACCTCCCCTTCACGATAAAAATAAAGAAAATAAATGTTTTCCTCACCTTTATTTAGTGCCTATGTTCCTAGTTGCTTCCCAGCTCTTCTCCTCCCGTGATGTCACGACGGACGCCTTTCCTCATAGGGGAGCATAGGGGACCTGGTGAGCATGCGCAGCGAGCACAGCACATGCAGCCAAGCTTCCCCACAGGAAAACATTGCATCAATGCTTTAATATGGGGCATTCCATGTCACGTGACTACTGGTTCCTTCCATGTCACATGACTACGTTTTATTCGTTAAGTTTCATGGAAGCACCGCTAGTGGCTGTTATAATGGCTGCCAGTACAATGTAAATATTGCTGTTTATAAAAAAAAAAAGGGTTATATATTGCAGGGTGACATTGAGAAGACGTGGTCTGGGTGACATTAGTAGTCCTTTAAGTTGTATTCTTATTTATTTTGTTATATTAATTTACTCCAATAATTGTATTCTTGGGTAAATTAAGTCAGTATTTATTTTTGGATGCATTCGTTTTTATGTTTATCTTATTTTACCTCTATGAAATTCTTTAAGATTTAAAGTAAAGATCAGAAAAAGAACTATCGGATTTAGCAATAAGTGACCTTCTCAAACTCTTTAATCGAGCTCTGCTGGAGAGGTTCAGACTCCCATTTAGCTGCATTGGGAAGCCTGCGATTGGACAGTCACAGAAAGTCTGGGCGGGGTCAGAAGGGGAGGGCTTGCAAAGGTTGCAGAAAAGAGATCTGCCACTTTTGAAAGCTGGTTTTAGATATAACCCCAATTAAAAAAAGAAATGCATAATTAAAGAAATGCATGTTTTCATTGGGGGAATATCTACTAAAAAGTGATTTTTAAAATGTATTTTTATATTATTATTTTTGGGATTTGTGCAGTGGGCTGTCCCTTTAAATAAAGGAAGTATTATGATTATTTGGATGTAAAGAGCATATTGTTCTCAATGTTCCAGCTGTTTTTAAGCAACAAGCATATCTAACTTACAATATTACAGGTAGTGTATCCTTCTCATCTGTATAGTACGGTATTTTACTTTGTTATTCTAGAGAACAGTAATTCTAGAAAATTAAAACTGCTGTCCCATTTTTTTTTATATATAACATTGTTTATAAACTTTGGTATCATGAGTAACTGTGAGTAAACTTTAGATATCAGGTTTAACATTATCGTAAAATAAGCAATATTTAGGTAGTAATAGAAACAATGTATTTTATAACATATGGAGGAGTCAATTTATTTCTAGAGACTCTGTGTACTTGGTCCAAAAAGACATGCTTATCTTCCTAGCCACAAATGCCTGCTTTGGTAAATATTTACTGTAAAGCAACTCTTTATCTAAGCAGCTCTTCTGCACGGGTGTACCTTATATCTTTCATTATCAAGAAATTTTCTCAAATATGGCATTCATCATTTTCAACTTTTAAAATATTTTTCCAAGGTCCTCAAGTTGAACACAATTTTAATTAGTTTATGTATTTAAATAAAAGTCATATTTTTCTGTCCTTTAATCAATTGAACGTTAACCATGGTGTTAAAACAAATATGATTGTTTACAGATGAGAAGTATATTTTAGCTCAATCTAGATCAAAGGACAGAAGATAAATAGTTTATTTTATACATGCAATATGTGACCTAATTTCAAGCACTTTTAATGGTCTCTAGGAATCCAGGAACAAAGTGAGCAGTTAGAAGAAAAAAAGATCGGGGCCCCTGGAATTAACCAGATATCTGGGAATTCCAGACTGAATCAAAGCAGTCCTCTAATCTTGAACGATATATGTTAAGGTAACGTATTTAAATAAGGCATATTGCATACCTCCTCCCAACTATAGTCAGGAATCAGACACATTTCTCATCTTGCAATACTTCTGTAGGATGAATTACAAAATGACTTTACTTACTTATAATGATAGAATAAGGTAACTTGTTTAAATAATGAATATACTGCTCCAAAATAAATTACAAACAAACGTTTCGCAGATCAAAAGCGATGATACCTTCATACACACCTCACTGCATGTATGAGTTGTATTGCTGCAAAGCTCTGTGATACACTCATACATACTGCACATTACTGTAAGTGTTATTGCTGTGGAGCTCTGTTATAAATACATACTGCACATAACAGGGTTTTATTGCTGTGGAGCTCTGTGATACACCTATACATACTGCACATAACAAGGTATTATTGCTGTGGAGCTCTGTGATACACCTATACATACTGCACATATCTGTGAGTTTTATTGCTGTGGAGCTCTGTGATGCAATCATACACATTACATTGAGCTTTATTGCTGTGGAGCTCTGTGATGCAATCATACACATTACATTGAGCTTTATTGCTGTGGAGCTCTGTGATGCAATCATACACATTACATTGAGCTTTATTGCTGTGGAGCTCTGTGATGCAATCATACACATTACATTGAGCTTTATTGCTGTGGAGCTCTGTGATGCAATCATACACATTACATTGAGCTTTATTGCTGTGGAGCTCTGTGATGCAATCATACACATTACATTGAGCTTTATTGCTGTGGAGCTCTGTGATGCAATCATACACATTACATTGAGCTTTATTGCTGTGGAGCTCTGTGATGCAATCATACACATTACATTGAGCTTTATTGCTGTGGAGCTCTGTGATGCAATCATACACATTACATTGAGCTTTATTGCTGTGGAGCTCTGTGATGCAATCATACACATTACATTGAGCTTTATTGCTGTGGAGCTCTGTGATGCAATCATACACATTACATTGAGCTTTATTGCTGTGGAGCTCTGTGATGCAATCATACACATTACATTGAGCTTTAGTGCTGTGGAGCTCTGTCATACACTCTCACACGAAATATTTCTCTTATATTGTTGCGAGTATCTTCTTGTATCTCTGTTCTTGACATCGGATTGCTTGTCGAGTGCAATAACCTCAACTTTGACCCAAGAGGTAATGTCTAATGTAAAAGTCTCTGAAATATCCATGAGGCTGTTCACTCAGATATTCCAACAGATTGCTAAATAAACAGTAAACGGGGTGGTAATACCTTACAGCAAAATATGTTGTTGACTGATCCAGCACAGAAAGGTTATACATGGAGTTCTATATGGAAAAATCTGCATGGCTTTAAAGCAATATACACTGTTTAAACATTCACAGTGAATACACAAAATATAAATACAATATATTCATTATTTTTGGTAACATGGTAAGATGTTCTGGTTGGCAAAATAAATATTCAGAAAAATTGAAATTATGTTCCAGACGTCAGATACTCATTCATTTGACAATTCGGCTTGGCCGAACGTCATTCATTAAAAAGTATTTCAAGGAAACATTTAGGCAAACGAAAAAAGGTGTGAAAATGGGCCAATCAGTGTACTGCAAAATATATGCAGAATATTAATATTATAATAACACTGAAAGGCCCAGAAAAAGTATCCAATAGAGGGAAAAAGAAGAGTTAAAAAAATCTATGTTTATGTATTTTACTTATTTCTTAAATATATAATAATTTTCTAATGCTCCTCCTTTGATCTTCTATTTGTCACGTCTCACCTAATCTGTGAATAAAATCGACATAGTGACCATTAGTCATCTTTTTTTTCCCATCAGTCATCTCTGTTTTTGGAACCACAGATGAACTCGAAATACTAAATGTTCAACAATCAGTCTAGTCATTTGCTTGAGTATGAAATGCTTCAGAGATACAGAATTTAGCCAAATGATCAATTGACCCAAATTTGGCCAAATCGCAATACGGCTGAATCTGAATGCACAATCTACATGACATTGTAACTCCATAGCACTGTTTGTATTGTCCCTGGATACTTGTATTTAACCTTATAATATCCACTTGAATCTGGTTTTATGGTGTAAAATGTTATACTTGGTCAAAATCAATGATTGACATTACACGATATTTGTTGCTAAGATAACTGTCTACAATTATACCAAAATCCATGTTGATTACAGCTTGCCCTAATGTAGCCCTTTAGAATAAAAAGGTGTTTTTTTATTATTATTTTTTTTGCCTGCAAAGCAATGTTTACATTGCTTCCTAGGGACACCTCCAGTGGCCATTCCTCAGATTGCCACAAGAGGTGTTTCTTGAGTTCAATGTCTCCATCCTCTGCATGGAGACACTGAACTTTACCCATAGAGATGCATTGATTTAATGCATCTATATGAGGAGATGCTTATTGGCCCAGCACATCATTTTGTAGTGCATGAACAATAGCCTCCAATGCTTTCCTATGGGAAAGCCTTGGATTGGCTAAGATTGTCAATTCTGATGATCTCAGCCAAGGAGGCAGAGTGGGGGTGAGGCCAACGCCAGCAGAGCCAAGCGGTGCTGGAATAAAGGTGAGTTTTACACAATTTTTAGAGGGCTAAGGGGGGACAGGTCACCTAAAATATTTTTTTATCCCTATAGGATCAGGAATACATGTTTGCAATCCTGCCATTATAGTGTTCCTTTAATTTAATGCTGTATCCTCTGTTTATGGGTTAGCAATGCATTTCATACTTAACAAAAAAAATCTGGTGATCAATTATATATTTTTTTATATATATATACAGGGAAAGTGTTAATAGAGTGTATTGCTAGTAGCTAGCATTAATTAAAACATTACATAAATACAGTATAGTAAGCAGTTATTTACACATTCTAATTATGTTGACCCGCTGCCAATGCACAAATTGCAATTCTTCCCCAAACTGTGCTTAGTCATTCTGCCAGACTAGACTTCTATCTAAAGTCTTAGGAAAACTTTCTCTGTACACCTACTGCTGAAAAGTCAGCTTTCTAACCCTGCAATCTTCTATGTGAAATGTGCCTTCCTCAGTCTGCAAAATTAATGGGCAACAATTATGAGAATGATAGAATTATCTCTGATACCATCAACTGGTGATAATTAGGTTCATAGGTGTATTCTACCCCACAAAGTTCTTCAAGGCACATCGATGGTCCATATATTATTAGTGTCCTCATTGGGACAGAATTAGAGAATGCCATGAGGACTGGGAACCACTAGCTAATTCCACCATTCCACATGATCTGTCTAGATGCTATCTGCTCATGGGTGTTCCAATTAAAGTATGAGTGTCCGGACTTGGCACTTGGCGCTGTTGTTTGACTGTTTATTTGATAAACAGTAAGTTGTGATGACTTGATAAATAAGTCTCTAAAAAATAACTACCTTCAATACCACGCTCTCCCGAGAACCCAAACGCCTCTTTCACACTTTTAACTTTCTACTTTGCCCTGTCGCTGCTGCTCCTACTCCTACCAACCTGACCGCTACAAACTTTGTTACTCGCTTCGCTGAGAAGATTGCCATGATCCTACCCCTACCAATACACGTAAGATTTAGGGTTCAATTTGAAATGCTGGTGCTAGTTTACAAATTTTTACATAACTCTGCCCCAGCCTACCTATCCTTCCTAATTAACACATATGTCCTGTCAAGGCCCCTACGCTCTGTCAAAGATCTGCGTCTTTTCTCTGTTTTTCTGCACACCTTCAAGACTTCTCTAGGGCTGCACCATACCTATGGAACTCCCTTCCCTGCTTCATTAGACTATTATCCAGTCTTAGTTCCTTCAAAAGATCATTAAAAACTCACATCTTTAGGTATCAATTAAGTTGGTAACCCACCCTGCTTCCTCTCCTGCAACTGTGCCATCCAATAAGCTTACCCTTCACTGTAATCTTATCTATTAGTCCACCTATTATACAGCGCTGCGGAATTTGTTGGCGCTTTATAAACAATAATAATTAATGCCTGAGTAGAGATAATAATATCTGATTCTACTGAAATGCATCATTTTTTCCCAGGTCAATAATTTTGTCCTAAATCTTGCAAGGCAAGTTAATTCCCAATTCACTCTTACTTGTCGTTTAGTGGATCGACTCATAGGTTTCCCTTTGGCCAGTAGAGAATTTGAGGAATTAATCAAGTGAAAGGCAACAGTTAAACACAACTGAATTAAAGAATGACAAGTGGTTTATGGAGTTTTGGACTCTGTGCCTTAGAAAGAACCTGCTTGTTTTCAGGTTTACAAACCCTATGCTAAACGTATTCATTCTTTAAGACGTGTATATTATCCACCATAGTTTGTACCTGTTTCTACGGCTTCCCTTTGCCAGACTGTTAGACATCCAGCTATATTTATTACCGTGCAATAGCGGACAGATATTCTTAACTTTCTCTGGGATTTATGTATTCAGTGAACGCTGAATTAAAAACGGAACATTTGTGATAAATAAAGTGCTGATTTAAAAAAATTCCTCAACTCAGCTGTAGTCCTATTGTGGTTGCTTTATTCTTGTTTCCATTAGCTATAATTTGGTTTTTAGTGAATAAGCCCCACACGTTATCACTGAGAGTATCAGGATGTTTAACCTGTGGATGGATTCTCCAACAGAGTTTTATAATAAGGATTCACTACTGGAAAACAAAGCTGGCTTTCCTTTACATTTCCGATGCTAAGAACTCCCCTGGGAAGCAGCCTGGGCAATGGATGCAGTGATCAGCTGGAATATATACTGCTACATCCTGATGCACTCTCAGTGCAGGTCAAACTCCTACTGAGTTTAACATAAACACTCTCCTTATCTCAGCTCCATTCCTGCAGCAGGGATCCTTGGGGAGTAAATTGTGTAAATTCTTCCCATTCAATGTGTAGGAAAAGACGTGTTAATTCTATTTGGAAACAGAATGACTCTGATTTAAATAGTGCACCCTTTGCACGCCAATAGGAAAGTTTGGGGATATGTGTAGTCTATCATTATTTAAAGCTGTATTATATATTTACAATATAATACATTTATTTTAATTTAATGGATGTATGGATCTTTACATCTGTCTGTCTGCCTGTCTGTTCCATCACCGGTCTCTCTATCTGTCTGTCTATCTATCTCTCTATCTATCTGTTTGTCTGTCTGTTCTATCTATCTGATTGAAGCCCAAAAGCTTACATTCTAAACTGAACACATAAGCAGGTAAAACACAAGGTGGTTTATTTAATGAACTGGAAATTGTTGAAGATTAATAAAGGAAATTAAAAATTTTAGGCAAAAGTAACCAAACTGAATAGGTTTTTAGCCCAGCAATTTCTAGTTTGCCTCTTTTGTCGTGAAATGAACATTCCTCTGATCAGTTTTCCACAGCTGCCGGTTTAGTAAATAAACCCTGGGGTTTAACCCCTTAAGGACACATGACATGTGTGGCATGTCATGATTCCCTTTTATTCCAGAAGTTTGGTCCTTAAGGGGTTTAAGAAATGGCAGCAGAGAGAGCCAGCTCCATAGATGGAGAGAGAAAGACGTGTCAGCTGGACAGCGACAGGTAAAGCGAGTGAATGATGATACTATAACTACAATTGTTTAATAATATATCAGCAGTCACGACAGTAAAATAATTACAGTGAAAACCCCAATAAAAAGATAACCTTTATTTTAATTCTTATTATTATTCCTGGCTTTCCATGAAGACATATTTGAATTATTACATTGTAATATAAATGTCCCTTAACAGGTGCACAGAATGGGTCCATGTGAATGCAAAGTATCTGGTTCAAAGTTTTAACTGTGGAACATTCCATTGGTTGCCATGGTGACTGCTCCATTTTTAGTACTTTGCTCCAGTTTAGTACGTGATCCGTACAGAATGTGATAATAAAAAATAATGAATAAAATGTCTTACCCCATTCAGACCCAGCGAGTTCTCTCTGACTTCAGACGTGATGCCGGATAGGATTGCTGTGGCGACCACCGCACCCAGGCACTGGGCAATAATATACATGACAGCCTTGAGGATGCTAATCTGACAGCTCAGCAGGCAACCAAGTGTCACAGCAGGATTCAGGTGAGCGCCGCTAATGTGGCCAACGCTTTGAGCCATGGTAGCAATCGACAGCCCAAAAGCCAGGGACACCTTTACAATGTCTTGTGTCCGGGTAGCATTCTGGCTCTGTGCAACAGGAAAATTAAACCCGAGAGCAGCACCAATGCTAATAAAAACAAAAATTATCATTGCTAAAAATTCGGCTATTACTGCTCTCCAGAAAGCTTTTTTCTTAATTTCGCTGGCCATTTTTTCACTATTTTTTTTTTTAAATATATATTTATTTTAGTTCTTTCCTATAAAAGTTTGAGAACAGGTCTAAAGGGGAAAGTTTAGTTGATGGGTTATTTATAGGGCATGGGTGGTCTGTAGGAGGAAAGGGGTGTTCCACAAAAGAAGGAAGGAACATTTACATAGATGATGTTATTGTGAGCTACCCAAAGCTTGCCAAAGGTTTCAGTATCAAGCTTTCTCTCCCTCTGTCTCTGCCTTCCAGAGATGGGAAATGTCTTTTCAGAGTTAAACCAAGTGAGGCATATATTCGAAGTACTAAGGTGCCTGAAGTCAGTTTTTTTTCTTTTTTAAACAGAAATCATGAAGAAATTTAATTAGAAATCTTTAAGAAATAAGAGTAATTAATAGTTCAACTTTTTCCGTTTCTCCACTCTATACATCTGTAGATAGAAAATGAATAGCTTACCATAATTATTTTTAAATTCATTTTTTTTTTTTTTTTTTAACAGGATTTACAGAAAAGCTGCTGTCTCTGCCCTGTTTAAGCTCACTGTGTGTTTAAACATTTTTCTTTACTCGTTGTACTGCGCTGCAGAGGATGTTGGCACTATAAAAATACATCACTAATGATTAATCATAATAACCATCGATCATTATAATAAAATGCTCTGTCTTCAACAGTCTGTGACTTTTTCTTTTATTAAATACGTTGCTTTGCATTTTTAAATAATTTCTAGAACTACTGTGTTTTATATTACTCCGTTCAATATTTAAATAAATTTAAACATTCTACTGACATTTCTTTGACTTTGTTTCTAGTAGTTAATTTGTTTTTTTACATTCTAATTTGCTGGTGGTAGCAGAGTATTTTTGTAACTTTAAAATGGGTCATTTTTTCCATTGTCTTGTCCACTGTCTCTGTTTTGTAGTCATGTATTTTAGCTATTCTGAGATGCTGACAATTATGGAATAAGAATCCTTGCTTTTTTTTTTAACTTGTTCACCACAGTCTGTTCCATACAGTGGAACCACTTTAATGCCAAATATCCGGGGTTTTCCCTCAGACAGATGTCACTAGGTGGAGCCTTGACAAATTCGTATTTTCCAGAATCCAAATGCCAATGAAATAGGCTCTGTGTCACTGATGCCAAGAAGTCAGTTCCATCTGCAGACGCTGTTTGCTTCTATTTATCTGCTACTACATGATTGTATATACCGCATATATTATCAATCGCCTCATAAAAATAAAATGTGTGTTTTTATTATATACGCCTTATATAGACTTCAAACACAGATGGTATATTGTTGCATATCTGAATTTACTTGCTATATTTTTAAGAGCTAACAACACCCGTCCAACAAGTGGAGGTGGAACTGAGTCATATGATAATGATTAAAATAGATACTGTATAAAAGAAAGTGCAGTCGGATCAAAGAGTTCAAGAGCAATGGTTTGCAGTTTATACTTTCTGGTTTCCCGTCCATTGTATGTATTTCTGCATTTAAAGATGTAGTTTCATTTTGTAACGTAGAAGCTCTAAGTGGTATCATCAGCAAAAATTAATATTAAAAAAAAGAACAAACAAGCAGATACATGCGCTATGGGAGTGTGATATGGTGCGAATGCCAATTCTTAAAGCGTTACAGTGAGCAATCTATTGCATGTAAAGGTGTCTTTTCAAAAAAGCCCATCTATTATTCCTATTTACAGTAATAAGTATTAAGGTTCTTGTACTAAGCAATTTTACTTTTTATTTTTTACCTGACTTTTAAAGCTAACAACAGCACTGCACGTTTTATATAGTCTTTATTAGGGTCGCCCTGGTATCTGGGGTCTGACACCTGATAACTTGGTATCTGGACTTCTGGACAGTAAAACAAATCTGTTCAGACAGCTAGCTGGAGAAGTAATTTAATGCATGAACAGAGAGACTTTTGGTACAATTAAAAAGTTCGGTTTATTAAGAAAAATGTCAGGGTTTTCTAGACATTCAATGTATTCCAATGTGTGGTGCAAAACGAATCCATTTCATTGGCTATTATATTACCTGTCTTTCCCAGCTCGGTGAGGACTTGCTGTGTAACGATTATTCCTATCTATGCTGTCTTATATAACGACATTAGTTTTAAGAATCTTCTGTTTTTGTTATTCACTTCAAACTTATACACATCCCTGCACACTTTATATACTTATATAATATATATTTGTTATCAACTTAATAATACGTATTTTGATGGTTATTTACTAATATACGTACGTGACTAAAAAACATAATTATTAGAGTTTTAGCAGCTAAGCAGATGGTAATCTTGAAGGCAGGATCCCAGGACAAACACATCCTTATCTAGGTGTTCCAGAGGCAAACTAGCAGGGCAGGATAGAGTAGCCGGGTGTAGATGAGCCAGGATGACTTGCTGACGAACATGCTTGTATTTCAAACCATTATTTGCTAATTCTGCTGTTTAGCTCAATTTAAATGCAAACCATACAGATAGGTCTGGAACTGTTTGGACACTGACACTAGTTGTGTTATTTTCTCAGTTTATCTAAATAAATCCAAGTTACGGTAAAATAATGAATATGGCTTTTAAGTGCAGTCTCTCTGGTTTAATTTGAGGGCATTCTCATCCTAGTTGGAGGAAGGGTTTAGGAATTACAGCTCTTTAATATGTCACCACCTCTTTTTAAGGGACCAAAAAGTACTTGCACAATTGACTCAAAATCTGTTTCATGGACAGGTGTGGGCTATTCCTTCATTGTTTGTTCATCAATTAAGCAGGTAAAAGGAGTTGATTCCCGGTGTGATATTTGCATTTGGAAGCTGTTGCTGTGACTCCACAACATGCGGTCAAAGGAACTCTCAATGCAAGTGAAACATCATCCTTGAGCTGCAAAAAAAATTAAAACAAAATCCATCAGACAGATTGAAGGACCAGCAGGAGTGGCCAGTTTGGTACATTCTGAAAAAAAAAGAATGCGCTGGTGAGCTCTGCAACACAAAAAGGCCTGGACGTCCATGGAAAACAACAGTGGTGGACGATTGTAGGATCCTTTCCATGGTAAAGAAACACCTTTTCACAACATCCAGCCAAGTGAAGAACACTGTCCAGGTAGTATGCATATCATTATCCAAGTCTACCAGAAAGATAAAACTTCACGTGAGCAAGTACATAGGGTTCACCACAAGGTGCAAACCATTCATTATATTGTCTGCTCAGATTTAGCCAAATTCAGCAAAGTTGAATGGACGGTGCTTCACTATACAGATGGACAATGACACAAAAACCAGGAGTTTTTTACGGCACAGAAGTGGAATATTCTGCAATGGCCTAGTCAATCACCTGATCTCAACTTGATCGAGCATGCATTTCACTTGCTGAAGACAAAGAAAGAACAGCTAAGGGCAGCTGCAGTAATGGTCTGACAAAGCATCACAAAGGAGGAAACCCAGCTTTTCGTGATGCCCATGCGCTCCAGACTTCAAACAGTCAATGCCTGCAAAGGATTCTCAACAAAGTATTCAAAATTAACATTTTATTTAAGATTGTGTTAATTTGTCCAATTACATTTGAGCACCTGAAATACAAGGATTGTGTCTGAAAATGGTTGCAATTCCTAAACGTGTTATACGTTATTTATGTTTAACCCCTTGAAATAAAGCTGAAAGTGTCTGCACTTCAATTGCATCTATGTCTGCATCAATTGTTTTATGGATTAGATTGCTATTTACTACAGTGAAGGTGGGGCTAAGGTTTCGTATGAAAGTATATACGCACAAGCTGGAAATATTTCTGTGAAAATGTTTAATTGTGTGTACCCTTGTCTGCACAGTTGCCCCTTATTGCTTTCTATGTACTGTCTGACAGACAACAATTGGCATTAGCAGCAAGGCTTGTCTGTCTGAATAGCTGCTATTACAATAATACTGTAATGTAGTGTTATAAACCATGAAAAAGAGGCTGCGCTGTCCCAAAATTATCGAGAAACTTTTTCAGGTTTACATTCGCACAAACATTCTGTGCACACAAAATTTTGGATCAGAAACAAATGTGGCACAAGATTACATTTCTGCACACACAAACTATCGTTATCGATTGGGTTAACATGGATATCCTTTCCTGGGGTACTTATTGTCACATAAACTGTCTAGAAACCCCACATCCAATCTGTGCCTCGAACCTGCCTTCAGACCCTCCCCTTTCTACCTTTCTCCCTCCGCAGTATAAGAATCTGGCACAAGTATTCTAAAAGAGAGAGGCTGACAAGCTCCCCCAGCATCGTCCCTATGACTGCGCCATAGTATTGCTACCAGGTACCATGCCACCCAAGGGCAGAGTATATCCCCTTTCGGAGCTGGGGCTCTGTATCGACAGAGTCACGGTACGCAACGCGTATTCCCATTTCGCTTATTACGGAACTCTTTGACCGTGTGAAGGGCTCTAAATATTATACTTAATTGAACCTTAGGGGGGCTTACAACTTGATCAGGATAAGGCAACAGGATTAGTGGAAGACTGCTTTCAGTACCCGTAGTGGCCACTGTGAATACCTGGTAATGCCTTTTGGCCTATGTAACGCTTCGCAGTCTTCCAAGACTTTATTAATTACGTCCTCCTGGATCTCCTGCATGTATGTGCTGTGGTATATCTGGATTATGTACTTGTTTATTCCCCAGACCTTGAAACCCACCATAAACACATTAGATCAATATTGAAGAAACTGCTGGAAATAATCTTTATTGAAAGCTTGAGAAGTGTCTCTTCGACCAGACTTCTGTGCAGTTTTTGAGTTACATCATATCTGAGGATGGGTTTTATTTAGTATGGATCCCAACAAACTGGAGGCTATTAAGTCCTGGCCACTTCCGCAAGGGTTTTGCAAATTATTACTGAAAGTTCATAAATAAATTCTCTTCCATAGTTGCCCCTATTACCAAGTTGACCAGAAAGGGTACAAACCCATGTGAATGGGGTCCCGAGGCTCTTGCAGCCTTCGAAACACTAAAGGAAGCATTTACCTCAGCCCCTGTTTTGCACCATTCTGACCCATCACTGCTTTTCATAGTTGAAGTGGATGCGTCTGAGTCAGGGGTTGGTGCAATCCTCTCCCAAAGGAAGGCACACAACGATCCTCTCCACCCGTGTTGTTATTTCTCCAAGAAATTATCAGATGCAGGGATGAACTATGATGTAGGAAACATGGAACTGTTAGCCACAGTTCTGGCTTTCACAGAGTGGAGACACCTCCTGGAGGGGTCCAGATACCCCATCTTTGTTATTACAGACCATAAAAACCTCTCCTATATAGCAGAGGCCAGACAACTATCCTCTCACCAAGCTAGGTGGTCCTTGTTTCCTATCAGGTTTCCAATACACCATAACGTATAGACCTGGAAATCGCAACACCAAGGCGGATGCCATATCCAGGCAACATTAGAAGCAACATTAGAAGCCATTAGAAGCTGATCCTACTCCCCCTGAACCCATAGTCCCTCCTGCAAACACTGTTGCCACATTCCCACCTCGTGATCTCCTCCCTCTTCCTTGATAATAAAAAAGGTTAACAAAACCAAGCACCACCCAAAACACCCACAGGTTTATTGTTTGTACAGGGAAGAGACAGGAGAAAAGTTATGGCATTATATCACAGTGCAAAGACAGCGGGTCACCCAGGTATCAACAAAACATATGAAATCATAACATGACAGTTTTGGTAGCCTTCTGCTAGACAGGATGTTAAGGAGTATGTTTCCCGAGTCTGTACTCAAACTAAGTCACCTACAAGCAAGCCATCTTATGGGCCCCTTTCGGTACCCAAGACTCCTTGGTCACACCTCTAAATAGATTTTATAGTAGACCTTCCCCCCTGAAGGCCATACAGTCATTTTAATGGTGACCGACAGACTCTCCAAAATGGCTCACTTTATTCCGTTGAAGAAGCTCCCTTCTGCTGTGCGACCGGGCCTTCGCAAAGGAAGTGTTCAGGCTACATGGTATACCAGTAGACATAGTTTCTGACAGGGGTCCCCAGTTCATATTGAGGATTTGGAGGGGATTCTGTGCAGAAATGCGTATAGGGCTGAAAGGGCGAACAAGTCTCTGGAACTCTATCTGCGCTGCTTTGTTAATGAGCACCAGGACAATTGGTGTCGCCTTCTCCCATGGGCTGAGTTTGCCAGGAACACGGTCTCTCACACCTCTACTGGCTTAAGTCCTTTCCAGGTGGCATATGGTGTATAACCCAGCGTCCTTTCCGGTGTGTTCTCGGACAAGGGAATACCCACTTTGGACCTTGCTGCTCTGCGGGAAATGTGGGATCAGGTCCATGTAGTTCTCTCTCGTGCAGCCGAGTCCCAGAAAAGGCTCGCTGATTGCCAAGCTATGTACCTGGTGATAAGGTTTGGCTGTCTACTTCTATGTGTCCCTTCTATGATGCTGGTGTCCAAGTTCATTGGTCCGTATAGGGTGCTGCACTGGGTCAATCCAGTCTCTTACTCCTTGGACTTGCCTCCGCCCCTGTGCATCCCCAATACGTTCCACATGTCCCTTCTGAAACCCCTCCTGTGCAACCAGTACACAAGACCTGTTAGTCGCCCCAGTCCTGTCCGTGCTGACTCTGGTGAGGAGTACGAGGTTCAGTCCCTCCTCGACTCCTGCTTTTGGTACCTTTGGTACCTTGCGGTACCTGGTCCAATGGAGGGGCTACAGCCCGGCGGAGCATTCCTGGGTATCCGCCTCTGATTTGAACTTTCATTTTCCTTTGAAGCCCTTGGCTTCCCACCCTCCTGATGGTAGTCAGGGGGGGAGGTTATCTCAGATCCCCTGTTTACCCCGTCACGGCGAGTGGCTCCATCTGGTCCCTGTCCGCAGCATGCGGCTGTCCCCCCTGCCGTGCTCCAGACTGACAGTGTTTCTGACGCTGCAAGCTCCAGAGCAGCATCCTTATATGTGTGCCAGACCCGGTCATGTGACCCGTCACACAGTAATGACCTTAGAGACCACAAGGGAGGGAAGAAACACCTCCCACGTTTTGTGGTTAACACTAATTGGAGGATAGCCAATCAGACACACCCTGTGTGTATATAAGCTATCCTCCCCCTTGCCTCAGTGCCCTGTTGTGGTCTTTGTTTAGCCCAATAGCGCGTTATACTCTGTCTGATTATTTGGTTACCGAACTTTGGTTTGTCTTACATTTACTCTGTTTTCTCTGCTCCCTGACCTCGGCTTGTCTCTTCGTATTCCATCTCTCTATTTCCCTTTGACCTTGGCTTGCTTTGACTATTCTTTTGCTTAGCCCGGCCATTCTAGACTGGTATTGCAATTCTGTCTGTTGTGTCCTGTCTGTGTGTTAGGTTCACTACCAATCGTGACAAAGGGTCTGTGGGGTTACGATAGCTATTTTGACCTGAAGGGGAAAAGAGCTGGATCTAGAGGAAGGGAAGACAAGGAATTCGGTCTGGGAGAGGCTGAGTTTCAGGAATCATGAAGTAAAGATAAGATGTCCTGAGTTGGAGACACAATCCAGTAAATGTATAAAAAGATCAGGCAAAGATGGTATCCTTAGCGTACAGGTGATAAAATCATAAGATGATATTCTGTCACCAAGAGAGGGAGTGTAAATTGAGAAATTAAGAGATCCCAGTACAGAGCCCAGGGGAAGCTCAAGTGAGAGTGATACAGAAGGTGAGAGGAACCAGAGAAGGAGACAAAAAATGGAAAGAGTGGTGTCACTGAGGCCATGATTGCAAAGGATGAGGAGAAAAAGTCGGTGGTCAACAGTATCGAAAGTAGCAGAAAGATCAAGAATAATAAGTTGGGAATAATAGCCTTTAGATTTCAGTGTCCCTGAATGATTAGGCAGGGCAGTCTCTGTAGAATGTTGAAAGCGGAAGTCAGATTGAAGCAAGTCAACTAGAGAGTTGGAGTTCAGATATGCTGTAAGTCAAGTATAAACAAGACTTTCAAGGAGCTTGGAGGCAAAGGATAGAATAGAGTTAGGACTATGGCACAGCAAAGCATCTGGGTGAAAAGCACATGAAAGAGCAGGTAGAAAAGAGAACATCAGAAACCTCCTCTTCAAAAACCGAAGAGAAGATACTACTAAGTATTGAAGAGGAGCCCTGGCAAAGGCTTGAACATTTGAGGGGAGTGAGTGCGAAGATTTAGTTTTGTATGTTGTCAATCTTTTCTATGCAATAAGATGCAAAATTGACAGCAGTGAGATTGCGGGGGTAATGTGGAATTCAATAGTGAATTAGAAGTTTGAAAGTTGTGTTTAGGGCTGTGCGAGAAGGTGGAAATGAAGTAGGTGAAGTATGTTTGTTTGGTGAAAAAATGCAACATAAATATGTAGCAAGGGAATTCGACCATACCACAAGACTTCCACCACCCACAGGCACCTTTGGAAGTATTTAGTGGATTTTGGTCACCAGGTCTAGTAGTATGTGAGATTTTCAGTGACGGCCAGGAGATGTAGGGTGTTGGGAATAAAAAAGTCATAAATAAAAGCTGAAT